GGGGGGGGGGGGGGGGGGGGGGGGGGGAGGAGGAGAGGGTGTCGACTGTTTTTAATATAAAAATATATAAATTGTATCTTGCATTTCTGTGGTAACGGCGACTCGCAACGTTCGGTGCAAGTGATCTTGTAGGTTCCATTTTTTTGCATAAAATGCTCAAGCATTTTTGCAGGTATGGCAGTGTCACGGTGCTTTGCTCGATGCCCCGTGTTCTCGAGTTGGACATATTTACCGTTGCAAGTACATTCCATTTCCCAATCCTGGCGTTGGAGATTTCATTTCAAGAAATTATAGGAGGTATTTCGAGTATTCGTTTTATATTAGTACCACTACCACTGTTCAGTCTGTTAGTGTAGAGATGTTTTTGTTACTAAAATCTAGTAACACGTCGAATGCTGCAGCTTATTCAGGCAGTTTCACCTTCGGTTTTTTGTCTCTTGTTGAAATCCGCCAAATTCTTCAAATACGCTTACTATATTCTTCAAGGTGCACAGAATCTGCATATACAGTAACTACATAATTTTTGTTTATAAATATCATTTAACACCAATTTGATTGCAAAAATCGTTAGTTTCCAGCTTGAATTTTGAAATTCCGCTGCCAGTTTGAAGGTTAACTTTGTGAGTCCTCTGTTATATCAGGTATACTCTTCAGGTTTAGAAAAGATTCAGCTCCTCTACTTGCCCACGCGAGATCGATCCTCTCCCTCTCCTCTTCAAGAATACTGGCTGCAAAAAATTTTTCAGGGTTGCCGAGGTGTGGATGGACGAATATGCTGAATTTTTATACAAACGAAAGCCATTGTTACGTACTGCAAATGTTGGTATGATTTGTAGCTAATTTTGCCGGAAGTATTTTTTTATTTTAGTACTTAAAAACACTGTTTTTTGAAGACTTTAATTAAGGGGTCTTTTCGGAGCGACTGTTTTCTGTGGTATTACCAATTCTGCATTAAATATTTACATGATCTGATTAGAAAACCCTAGCCAGATGATAAAATTTAATCATATGCCGAATGCACCAAATTTTAATAACACCGAAGATTTCACATCTGTTGTCTTAGGCCATATTGGTGAATTTTCAAACACGAATCTGGCGTTTTTTGTATGTGATTTTCAGGAAGCCTTAGCAAACAAAAAGCAGTGAGGCAAAGGCTCAATTGTAAGTCGTTTGATTGGTTCATGAAGGAGATTGCTTTTGATCAGAACAAGTTTTATCCGGCTATTGAACCGGAAGATAGCGCTTCAGGTAATGTTGTATTTACGGCTTTCTTGCTGTTTTATGATAGATTCGAGTGGTTGGCGAGGTCAGGATATGTTATTTGGGATATTTTATTCGAAGTTTAGGTAAAACAGAAAATGAAATTTTTGAGGGTGGTTTTTTTTCGTTTGCCTTTAATTTTTATAATACATAGTTTTTTTTGTCTAATTCTGTTATTTAATATGAATATTTTTTGTGGATTGTTGTATAAACTTTCGTACAGCGGAAGATTCAGATAGCAAAGTGTCTTTATCACCGTCGATGCTACATTAGCGGTAGAAATGAAAATTCGTAAATTGATTAAAACAATTTACTTTGCTCTTTTTCTTTTGCACAATTGCAAACTCAGTTCATTTTTTATCTTTTTTGTTAAACCAAGCAAATGTAGCTGAACACGATTCCCGGTTTACAGATTTCAGGCCGGGCTGGAACCAATACGCGCTTTTTTCACTCGCTTCTTTTAACTCTGTAGATTTCAAATTTGTTTGCATTGGCTGCAGGCTCATTTGCAAGATATTTTTATAATGTTTGTTGCTTTTTTGCATTGAGCAGACCGTCTTCTACGCATTTAAGATAGCGCATTGCCTACACAAAATTCTTCGAGACGAGAATAAGCAGGCTTTTCATTGTAACACATTGATAAAAGTTAAAATACTGTAAAAAAAATCTGGGACGGATGTTAATTTGTTTATCCTTCCTGACCAGGACCTAAAAAATCTGTCTTTTTGTATGGAAGTAAGCTTTTTGTAAATTGAATGAGGTGCTTTTTAGGCGAGCTTCGAAATATCGCCGCAAACTTGTGTGTAGATACGCAATTTCAAGGTGCACACGAGAAATTCGGTTTGCGGAAATGTATTAGCGACGATCCAGTTGATGGTGGAGAACAGGTAATCGTTATTAGTGGTCATCTGAAATGGGAACGGTTAGAAACGTTGGACCTCGGCCAATTCATTTGTTCCAAAATTCTCCGTTTCCTCCTTTTTGTTGAAAAACTAGCTTGCATATGTTGCTACCAAAAGCTGGATACAATTGTCTGATTCGCTTGGCGAGCAGAAGACGACTTATTGACCCATTAACGTTGGGTATTTGTTTCGGTACACTGATCAGTTGCCTGCATCTCAGAGTCATTAATGCAGCTAGTTAAGTCCTCTTATTTGCTGCTGCTGGGTCACTTAATGGTCAGCCTGCTGATGACCTCAGTGTTCACTTTCCTGCCATTTTACCAGCAGACTCTTATTTCATCTGTGCTACTTAGCACTTTCTAGTAGAAAAGTGGGTGGCTTCTCCTCCCATCTCTCCGATAGTGCTTTTCTGAGATTTCTCCATGCAAAGTGGTGCATAAATGAAAAAGTGATATAGACTGTATGGTATTCTTTCCAGACTTTGCGGCTTACGTTCTGGCATGATATTCGGCCGAAAGGACGCACGATGTGTTTGGATGTTTCGACCTCTGTGAATCAGGCGCCCATTATTTTGTATAGTTGGTACTATTTTTTAAACTATTTTTCGATGATTTTCAGCTTTACAGCTTCCATAAGAGATAGTGCATGCCAGTGCTGGAGAAAGCAGCTATGAAAAGATGGGCACTGCGTTGTTGCCGTAACGTCTGGCTAGACTTGAGTTGCATCAAGAGCTTAACACTGATATATTTCGATAGTCTAAGCAAAAGTTCAGTTCCCGAGTTTTGACCGTTGCTGCACTAATAAAGCCTTATCTGCCGCAGCGATTCTTGATGGAGCTATTTGCCGATCGATTATTGAAATCTTAATGGTTCTTCTGCACTTCAGCCATGGTATGAAAGGTAATCAACATTTCAAGTTTCTGCCGGACACAAAACAACTATTCCATCCGATCAGTGCTTTGTGTATGGACTGTGATGCCGAGCGTGGTGAGATCTTCATGAATCCATGTGATTCAGAAAAAAAGACTCAGAAATGGTCATGGACGAAAACTAATTTAAAATTAATCTTGGAGCGCAATAAAGAAACATAACTAGCGCACGCTGGTTGTTTCCCTAAGAAATCAGGTAGAGTGTTTTGAATCTAATTTTCCTGCTTATAAGTGCGTATGTCGTCTCTAGCACTACTACTCGTTGAGGGATTGAGAGGAGTTGGGCACATAAGAGGAGAAGAGGGAGATTGATGGGCAGCCTTCACTTAATCGTGTCTGGAAGCAATATTGGGTATTGATTCTACAAAAACCAAAATCTGATGATTTTATGTTGTTTTTTAAGCCTTTTTGTTCACTATTCTTGTCTTTTGGTTTTTTATACCGACCACAGAATAGGATAAACAAGATGAAATGTAATATAGACGAACGCGAGCGATAATGCAATCTCCAAACTGAAATGCTACTGTTCGTTTACAGCGGTTATGCTTTAGTAGTAGCATTTTGTAAGTTCTGCTCTGCAGTAGTTCGGAGTATTTTTTCGGCAGGAAGACCATCAACCATCCGTGCCACAACGAATGGTTGCTTTTGGCAGAGTGTCGATCTCGAATTAATGCCTCCCCCTTTCTCAGAATCGGTAGAATACGATGGTTCTATTGACTTTGAGTATAGCAGAAATTATTAAGCCTCCGAAATAAAACCTCTTAAAATGCAATGAATTTTTTAGACAGAGCTAGCTTATTTTAACTTAATGCCTTAGATTGTTTTGTACTTCCGTAACATTTATCCGCAGTTCTTTCATGAACACATTCCGGTTGTTATTTTTTGTTTTTGTTGTTGTTCTCTATGCTGGGTTGTGTATCATTGTGTATAATTGTGTGTGTGTGTATGTATGTATGTATGTGCATTCGTGTGCCATTTGGTTTTGTAATTATTCCGGGGTATTCTCTTATGCAAGGTTTGTGCCGGTATATTTGTTTTTCGTTTTTGTATCTGCTCCGTTAATTTGTAAAAAAAAATTGAATAAATTAAAGAGGTGTGGAAAAAGTTCTGCTTGCTCATTCAGATTTACGATCTATTCAAGACGATTATAGCTAATCAACTAACAACATTCCTCGATGAATAGAAGCCGGGAGCTCAAAATAATTACAGCACAACAAACCACTTTTTTCCTCAATCCATCTGCTGATGCCCCATAAAAGGTGTATATTCGACAATAAGCCAAAAAAAAAAATCAAACAGCTTCGAGCTAATTGCTCCACTGCTGTGGAGGGGATAAAAATTTTAACCGTTGGAAAAGAAGACAGGCATGTTGCTCGGAGTCAAGGGGGATCGAAATTACCCGACTGAAACAGCGATTTGGCAGCTACATTTGCGGGGTTTACATATGTACCTATACGTACGTTGTATACGAACTGTGCAGTGGTGCGAGAAAAAAGTGCATTTTGCAGAACTGATTTGTAATTTCAACTCGCTACTGGCATTTGAAACAGAGTAGTGACAGAAATTCAGCTAGCAGCTAGTTGTTCCTCATACCGAAACAAATCCAGGCATCTGTCGACAAATGCTTCCACCTCTCCACACTTCAGATCCGGATAGTAGTTCTCGATAAATCCACAGTTCGTCACTGCATATTGTTTTAGATTCAGTACACCGAACTGTCGAGCGAACGATCGAATATTGTAGCAGTGGCGACGAAATATCTAGAACAACATATGAGCTAAAGAAGTAGTTTGCTGTTTTTTGCAGACTAAACCAATTTTTGCAGGCTGAATCTCCGTTGCTTCTAAAGCATAAACCGAGCTTAACAAATCTACAGTTCTGTAAAAGAAACGGTCAGCGTCCGCTACGGACTATCAGTATTATTCAAGCTCACCTCCATCTCCGCGTTTTGTGCCTTAATCACTTTGCGCTTCATGGACGAAAGTAGGCGTTTCCTTTCCAAAAATTTTCTCCTATCAGCGGCCATTTTTCTCCGTAACGCCAATATTTGTCGCATTTTTTGACTTTTACTCGCAGCGTTCACAGTTTTGTTTTCTTCTTCCTGCAGTGACATCTTTACACATAATTCATTTAGCATTCCAAATTATTTTTCGAAACTTTTTATCGGCCCCTAACTTGAGAAATTCAGACAAACAGCACAGTGGAGTGCGCAAGTCAGCAATCAAAGGCAGAATTCCCGAAGTCTGGAAAAATATTTTCCTCTCTGCTGATCTTTCTGCACTCAATACTAGCCCATTTTTTCTGCAAGGGTACTATTTCACGCCCTACAATGACGTAGTAATGCAGATAGGATGGCGGTATTTGAAGATTCTGCTATCATTAGAGTTTTCACATTACTTCTCAGTAGTTTGAAGAAATCGAAACTATTCTGATGCTGAAGACCGTGAAGCCCAAAAATGCCTTAGTAGAATGAAAACCAATTTTTGGAGGTAGCTTTGCATACCGAAATGCAATGTATCCGAAAGGCAAATTTGCACAGCAACATTCCGTAACTCTAGTCTTATTTAGGCTGCAGATAATAAGAATATAAAAAGGTCAGGAGGTAAGAAACAAGGGCATTAAATTGAGTTATCAAAGGCATCGCCTTATGAAGTGTAAGAATATGTGCCAAAAAATCCTGTCGCAAGAAAGCAGTGGTCAGCGATTTTTTGACAGGTCAGCAGTGCGAAGACATCACTTTGCAGTTCACTGAACACGGGTCAGGATGAAAATGGTGTCATGTTCAAATGAAAACAAAATTAACTTGTTCAATTTGCTGCTGCTGGGACGGACTGCTGCTTCCAGATTCCAGCCTGTCAACACCACTTTCTGTTGGAATTGGTGTGGTAGTTGACTGATAAAAATACGGGGACATCTGTGGTGTTACGGACTGCAGCTCATTATTTCTACTTTCCAAGCTGATCTTATCGTTTTTGTCAAGAAGACTGCCGCTATGCTGCTGTTGTTGTTGTAGCTGCTGTTGTTGTTGTTGCTGCTGCTGCTGTTGTTGCTGTTGTTGTTGTTGTTGTTGCTGTTGTTGTTGTTGTTGATGTTGTTGTTGTTGTTGTTGCTGTTGCTGCTGCTGTTGCTGCTGCAACACTGCATTTTCAACTACCACCAACTGAATATTCCGTTTACAGAACAGTCAAATTTACATTTGCATTAATCGACGATACGAGTTATTTATTAAACAAGACACTGTCAGAACACAAGCGAGGTTCGATCATCGCTTCAACGAGAATGAGAAATTTTTGGAATTGCATTTTAACATGAAATTTGATATTGCAAACCATTTTTTGCTGTAAATCGAATAGCGGATGAGCTGAATAGTAACTGTGAAGCTCCTTGAGATCATACATCTCTCGATTTGACGGAAGTGTGCTCATTTCTGGTTTAATTTCGATTCCAGGCAGTTCTATCAACGAATTTTTTGGAACCGAAGCCTGCAAATCCCAAGACACTTTTCCAAACACGCACCTTCCTGCTGCGTGTCCAGAGCAAAGCATCGGAAGTCCGGCAGTCTCTTCATCTTGCTCTTTTTTAGTTATCGTCCAACCAGCTCTGTTTGGGCTTACGCCTGGTCTATTAAGACTTGGCACCTCTTTTCCAGTAATTTGACTCAAAATATGTCGCAGTGAACGCCAAAGGTATGACTTGACGACTTTCGCAGACGTTAGCATAGTCTCAGGATTATTCAATTTTTATACGTGTGACTGGGCACCTTGCTTTCGTCCAGCAGACAAGCCAAAAAGAAACCACTACAGCCACGTATATTTCGCTGCCTTCATCCACTACGAGTCTAATTTATCTCAAATACTAGGGATGAGCGTGGAGCAGGTGGGTAGATGCGGGCTTGGCCGCGGCTGGGGGGCGACGGGATTGGCTGCGGGGGGAGAAGGTATTGGCCGCGCGTGGAGGACGGCGGGATAGGGTGCCGGTGAAGAACGATTGGATGGGTACGGGTAGAGGGTGAAGGGGAGAACCTCTTCAAGTATGCTAACCGCCTGTTTCCATCCCCATTGACTATTTTTCATCAGCGTTTCGAAGCATGACAGAAGGGGACAAACGATCAAACCATCTTACCGTAAGCATCAGCGCGTAGTCTGGAGACTATCCCGGTCCTCACGGTAAGCTGGTTTGTACACTGCGCGCTTATTATTGAAGCAGCAAAGTCTGTGTGAATAAGAAGCAGGTTAAAGTTGCCTGCTGAAGCTGAGCTGCGCGAATCTGTGCATCTTCTGCTGTCTTCAAATATTCCGTATAGGTACGACGATTGCGCAGCTCATCCGATGTGGTCGGCGTTGCCGAAGCCATCTCTTTCGCATACGCTTGGGCTGGATCAGTTATTATTTTCACTTCCTAAAGTGATGAATTTTTGTTGTAACAAGCAGCAATAATTACAGGCTAAGAAGTCCTGGAAAATGCGCATGAATACAAACCTCATTCTGATTCAGAATTTCGGCTTGTGCTGCTGGTGCTGCCTTATAAATTTGTCCATCATAAACGATCGTTTCCGGTTGGAATTCGTGTGGCAGTATCCCGAACGGCTGGTAGTATCTGTTGCAGCGCGATCACTCACTCATTCTGATAAACAAACGTCTATGACTTTTGCAAAGCTAATTTGAAAACCTACAAATTTCCATCTTTGAAGATCGGTTGAAAAAAGACAGTTCGTTCTTTTGGCGGCAAACTGCGGCTTCTTGACTGATGCGAACTTGTTAAACTGCTGAAACAAGAAATACGTATTATTATTTTATCGTCAAGGAATAAATCCGGAGCACAGTTTTTCACCGTTAACCATCAATAGCTTAAAGTAGCGGCCGAGACTTGTAAATTCGTTTACTGCGCTCTAGGTATGGAGGCATTGTCATTTAAAAGCATATTGCCTGCAAAAAAGCACATGCTTGTGCCGGTCCTCTGGCGCGTACGCCTCAATTTATTAATCATATTAAGTGAAACATCCATTGCTGAGCTTGAAGCGGACTTTATCCTTTTTATGGGTTTTTTGCAGCCATGCAATGCAAAAAACGCATATTGTCGAGGTGTTGTCTGTGTGTGTGTCTGTGTGAATGGATGTGTGTATGTATGTGTGTGTATGTGCGTGCGTCTGTAACGAGTTTTCATCTCGAGATCCACAAAAGCTACAAGGCTGAAACTATGGTAACTTAATCTAAACATACGTGCGGGCTCGTATCCTCAAAATGGACGCTCAGGTCCGCGTGGTTCTCGCGTAGGGGCACGTGAAAGTTTTTTTGGCGGGAAAGCGTTTTC